ACATCAGGATGCATCTAGGTAGGAGAGGCATGAGCAGTAGAACGACCTGGTCAACCTCATGCAGGTTATTTACCACTGAGCCTCATCTTCCACACTTATGAAGCGAGGGTCATAGACTAGATGCCTTATGTAGGTAAGCTTTTTACTGAAGTATCACATAAATGCTCACATATCAGAAAGGTGCTGCTTGATGAATTTTTACAAAGGACTAGCCCCCAATATCATTACCCCAGAAATCCTCACAAAGGTAACATTATTCCACTTTTACCTCAGTATATCAGTTTTGTCTGTCTTTGAACTTTATACAAATAGAATCATCTGGAGACCTTCTTTCATATCTGGCTTTTTTCACTCAACACTATGTTTGTGAAATTCATTCACCATGTTGCATCTTTCTTTTTTTTTTTTGGCCACGCTGTGTAGCTTGCAGGATCTCAGTTTCCCATACCAGTGATTGAAGTCAGACCACCGCACACAGCGAAAGCCTAGAATCCTAACCAGTGGACCACCGGGGATCTTCCCACCACGTTGTTTCTTCATTCTTCTTGCGGTGTAACATTATATTTGTGTCATTATGCTGTTGACAGTCATGTGGGTTTTTTCTAGTTTTGGTTACTATAAATATCTGCTTCTATGGAGATTTTTTAATCATCTTCTCTTTTTGGGGCAGGGGGCCATGCTGTGCAGCTTGTGGGATCGATCTAGCTCCTTGACCAGGGATGGAACCCATGCCCCCTGCATTGGGAGCAAGGAGTCTTAACCACTGGACTATAGGGAAGTCCCTCTGGAATCCATCTTTTGATGAATATACATATGCATTGTTTGTATGTTTTAGGAGTGGAACTGTTGCGTCATATGATGTCTGAATGTTCATTTTCTAGATGCTTTTTAAAGATCATTCCTCATGATGGAACCAAACACTATCATGGGTCACACAGCTAATAAACAGGCTTTTCATTCTGTCCAAAGAATCACTAGTAGGACTCAATACTAAGGCTTCCAGTACTCGTCAGCTTAAAACCCTTCTCCAGCCCAACCTCAAATGGGTAGACACTACAAAGGAGTATACGTACACCTACGCACTCCAGAGCCATGTTGTAAAGACAGTCAGGTAACAGGCAGCCCTCTGTACTGGCAATGAATCACATTTCCGTGGCCAGATGAAGCTCCTGGAAGCTTGCAGGGTTAGCTAGAGAAGTAGGGGCGGGGGGCGGAGGGGGGCTCTGGAAAACATCTACTTCATTGTGAGGGTCTTTACAGCCAGAGCTATGATATGAATCTGTCAGCAGATAGTCCATCTAGGCTTTTCGCCCAGATTTTAAGCACCTGGTAAATGGTCAATAAAAATAAGCATAAAATTTAGGGCAAAAGGACCAAATAATTAGAATTTTATAAGAGAAAATTGCCTTTCTAAGCAACATTTCATCAAACAGGAAAATTTTCCAAAGTAACAAGTTTAAAAGTGCTATTGACAAAAAGAGGCACATCAATATATGATTTAGAGAAATGGGTGGAGCTATGAGAAACAGTATTTCTTAAAGTATAGTCTGTATAGACCAGAATCAGCATCAGCATCTGCTAGGATGTTGTATTAAGACCCCAGATTCCAGACCCCATCATTCCTAAATCAAACTCTCTTAGGTGAGTCTAGAAAGCTGCATCTTAACAAACTCACTGGCGGCTCTTAGGCACCGACTCCACCATCTGTATTACATTCCCTGCTGCAGAGGGTCTCCATGCTTTCAAGCTAGGAGCTTCTACATGGAAAGATGAAATGATCCTATCACTTACCCACAAGCCTCTCTGCTATTTCTGGGTTAAGTTCTAATTTCTTATTTACAAAAGGCCTCCAGTTGGACCTTCTGGCTTTTGCTTTTTCCTGGGACATCACTGGCTAAATTCAACTGTGCACACAATTTTGCCTCTGTTGGCGATACTGCCTTCTCAGTTGCCCCTCTTGTTGGAGGCGGCCCACTGTGGCTTTCTACATGTCACTTTGAATGCCCTCTGAAAACCTCCTTTGTCCTCATCAGCCGTCCACTTCAGAAGTGGTGGTGTTATTTTGAGGCAGGGTTTGGGATGTCATATAAAATAAAGCCATGATTGTATGAAAAACCAGAAGAGGATAAGCAGCTAACACAAACATGAATAAGGCCTAAGCACATGCTGTACCAGGGGAGGGAGAGAGAATGCTTCGCTGTGAGTCTGCTTTGTCTCTGAGGTCTGGGTGCTCATGGAAAGCCCTGATAGACTTGCTGTGAGGTTTCAGGGTTCAGGTGTACTTACCGAATTCTAGGGCCCAAGGCCTGTCTTCTGAAAGGTTCCAGCCTAAGTGCCCAAGATTCCTTATGAACGGGGATGAGGGGACAGGGAGGTGGGGGAAGGCCCCATGCTGTGTTCTTGGGTTCTGCTGGCACCTCCCCCGTGCACACACATCCAGTGCATTTTCCTCAGAGTTGAGCCCTAGAAACCCAAGCTCCCCTCCATAAATTCCAGTCAACAGTACAACCTTTTGCTCCAATACAGACACTTCCCATTTCCTCCTTGCCACCATGTTGCTTTGAAAAACTTTTAGTAGAAGCAGAGGCACATAGTCTGGGACACTTGCTCTATTTCAGTGACAGTTTTCCACCACAAAGAACACTGAAATACAGCAGGAAATGGTGAATATGAATAGGCAGTCCTAGGCTAAATTTGAATGGTGGAAACTGTATTCCAAAATGTTTTCCATAGAAGTTCACTTTCTTTAGTTTTGATGACTACCCACTGGATCATTGTGGCCACAAGCCATTGACCAGCCAGGAAACTGGAAAATAAACTGTTTCATATGGGCTTTCAGAGACTCTGTTTTGTTTTTGGTTTTTTTAAATGGTAGGGGCATAGAAAAATGATACACTGACCCCAAATGAGCAAATAGAGGAGTTTGGAAAGTAGCATGTTTATGAAAGCTTTATGATTATCATTTCATAAGAACAGCAGAGAAAGCACAGAGGAAAAGAAAGGGGATTAAAATTTAGGGAACATCTATCCATGCCAGCATTTTGCTGGGAATGTTACATAGCAAACGCTGTTTTGTTCTCACAACCACCAAGTAAAGTAAGCTTTATTACCTGCTCCCTGTCCTTTTTGGTTTAGGAAGTGGGTTCATTTAGGTTAGGTAACTTGCTCATGGTCACCCACTTAAGAGTTTACAATCAGGAATTCAAATATTGGTCCCTTTTCACTCTTACCTGGCATTCTGAAGAGAAAGCTCTGTGGAGTCTGAATAAAATAAGATCTTGATTATGGGAAGGCGGCATGGGTGTTAAAAAAAACAACAAACCATTCAATTAAAAAAAAATCTGTTGTACATTTATAGATCTCTCATGTCTAGTTATATTCATACTATTGGCTTTAATTGAACAGACAGACAACAGGGTCTGTCATAGTTGTAAGTATCCCTTGAATATATTAGTTTTAATTTTATTCAACTCCAAGAGAACTGGACATTGGCATTCCCATGAGGTAGATTTAGTATTTAAAATTGTTCTCAGTATCCTCTGAGTCCTATTCTCCTCCAGCAAGGTAGACCCACATTGGGGGTGGGGGGAAAGGAATAGATGGTAACTTGAGGACTAAGGTGGGATGATTTAGACCAGGGGAAATAAGGGAAGGTCTCAGTGAATCCCTGGGAGATGTTTTGGGCCAGCTTTAGCTCTTGGCATTCTCCTCCTGCTAAAGTATCATTTGTTTCTTTGGAAAAAATCATGTGATGGAGACCACAGTGAATCCCAGCTTCAAGATTAGTCAGGTGATGGAACTTCCCTGGTGGTCCAGTGGCTAAGACTGTGCTCCTAATGCAGGGGACTGGGTTTGATTTCTGCTCAGAGAACTGGATTCCATAGGAGGCAACTAAAGATCCCACCCGTTGCAATTAAGACCCAGGGGAGCAAAAAAAAAAAAAAAAAAAAAAAAAGATTAGTCAGGTGAAACTGGATAGACCTAAAGAGTTTGGGAAATAGATCAGGAAATGTGGTCCCTTACAAGGGCTCCCCTCCCTGTTACTGCAGTATCACTCTCTTCTAAGATGGGCTTGATGACCTCTACTGACTTGGCCCTGAACACAGAAACGGTGAAGCCGGGTAAAGTGGAGAAAGGTGGTGAACTTCCATCCTCAAATAGCCAAGTAACGCCTCGACTATCTTCATCTTGCTCATGAAGGTCAGAGTCCAGCCCAGCCAAAAGCCTGGAAAGGAAGCACAGAAGCATGAAAAACAACGTCAGGGAACCTCACGATGCTTTCAAACGGCAGTTCGGTCAGGGTGTGCGTTTAAGAGTCATAGATCAAGTGTAGCACTCGCTTTTTAATTACTGATGCTCTCTCTTCTGAGGTTCTACCTTACATAAACCCGGTGAACTGCAGAAGCAACAAGGCATGGGGATCTCAGCGTGCGTCTGATGAAATCCACAATGCCTCCTCGAATTCCCTTGTAGGTTTCCCCGCCCGATGTTCTGTGCCCAGGGAGCCTCATAACCTTTTATGCCATTCTTATAAAATGCTTCGTAGTTCCTTCTATCTTGGGTTTGAGAGGCCAGAAAATCCCAACTCACGTGCGTGTCCCTAAAGCCCCCGCCCAAGCCCCAAGAGTGGCTGCCCCTAGGCGCAGCAGTAAACGCGGCTGGAATGGAACAGGGTCCTCCAACGTCTATTTCCACCTCTGATTTCCGTTAAACATTAGCTCTGGGATCTGCGCGCAGACCCCAAGGGGCCGGCCTCCGGGAGACGAGCTTGGACACTCGCCCGACCTCCGCAGAGGGCCGGGGGCGCACTTCCTGCGGGACGGCGGGCGGGGACGGAGCTGACCGCCTCCCCTTCCCCGCCCCTCCCGCGCTCTCCCCGCCCCCTCCCCCTCCCCCTCCCGGGACCGCCGGGCGCCGCGGGGGCGGGGCCGCGAGCTGGCTGGGCGGCGTGGCGGTGCGGGCCGGGCGCCCGGGCTAAGGTGCGAGCGGGCCCGCCGCAGGCTCGGGTGCCGAGCGGGGGCGCGCGGCGCGTCTCGGAGCGGAGCAGCCCGGCCCAGCCCAGCGCGGCGCGGGCAGACGCAGCCGGCGGGTGGCGGTGGCGGCGACGGCGGTTCCCGACCCCGCTGGTGCTGGGCCTCCGATCGAGCGCGGCGGCCTCGGCCGGGGCGCTGGGGGATCCCGCGGCGGCGGGCTGTAGGAGGAAGCGGCGGCGGCGGGCGCGTCCAGAGCCGAGCGCGCCATGTCTGGCGGGCCCCCCAAGGCCCTGCCGTCCACGGGGCCCCAGTCTCTGCGCGACATGCCGCACCCGCTGGCCGGCTCCAGCAGCGAGGAGGCCGTGGGCGGCGACAGCACGCCCAGCCCGGACCTGCTGACTGCCCGCAGCTTCGGCGACAAGGTGGGACGCGCGGGGCTGCGGGTTGGGAGACTGGTTGGGCTCCCGAGGGGGATGAAGGATCTAGAGCCCCGCTGGGCACCGGGCCGCGCCCACCCTGGTGCCCGTTTCCCGGCGGCCGGCGTGCCCTCGCCCCGGAGCCTTGGGAAGAAGCGTCTCCTCTCTCCCGCCCCCGTGGGGTCGCAGCCGCGCAGGGGGAGCGGCCAGAACCGAGGGGCTGGCCGGGCTTGGCTGGTCTCGAGCGCCAGTGACAGCTGGTGGGGAGGGGTCCCGCCTGCTCGTTGAGGCTGGAGGCGTGGGTGCAGTGCTCGGCGCGGGTGTCCGGGGATGGGGTTCCGGTTCCTCCAGATGCAGTCACTTGTAGCTCCGCCAGTTTGCTGGGACTGCAAGGAAAAAAAGAGTTAATGGTTTTCCGTGGTCTTAACTGCCAGAGGCTTCTTAACCCCCGTCTGTCACGTGGGGAGTGATCTTTGTTTAGGTTTGCTGTGTGCTGGGGAGAGTCACCTGACCCAGATCCCCGCCGGCTGCGGGAGGAGAGTGAGTGCCCCTGTGGTTTTCTGTCTGGGGCTCCATTTACCTCTGACGGTCTCTCACGCTGTTTAGGCTTGACAGAGGCTGGTTTTGTGGCTGTTGGGAAGAAAGGTCGCCCTTTGACCTCCTTTGTGTAGAGGGAGGTTCCTGATTCTCTTAGAGCAGCATGACCCTCCTGCTGCTGTGAGGGGCAGGAGAGTCCACTGAGGGGTTAGGGACGGCATCTCCCTTCCCCCCACAGGCATTTCAGCTGTGATCAGGACTCAGCAGTGATTGTATCAGCGCTGCTGTTGTGACTTAGTCACTAATTGCAGAAATTAGAGTTGTTCTCAACACCTGTGATCAGGATGTTCTCTCCTATTAAAATACTAAGCGAATGCCTCTTTGTCCCAGTACTGAATGAAATCAGGAGACCCAACGTTCTTTCCCCCTTAGATGGGAGGACGTGTGGTGGTGAGTAAAATGAGTGTGAGAGCACTGAGCCGTCAAAATAGCCAGGGAGTGGGACTTGATGAACCTTCCCAAGAGCTTTGTGAAAGCAAAGAGTAGAGTCGGGGGAGTAGGGGGAGAGACAGCATTAGGAGCAAGGAAACTTACAAAGCTAATGAAACCAATGGGTTGAGCAACTGGAGGTATGTGTGTGTCTCTTTGTAAATATTTCTCTTTATTGTATAGAACATTATAAACTATGTGAAGGCTTCAGTTGCTCGGAAATAACTTGCCTATATTTGCTATTTAATAAGTAATTGTTGAATGATGATAATTTGTTGCTTTCTTATGGACAGAGAACTTGGTCCTGTGTGTGCATGTAGGATAGAAATTGAGGTTAAGCTTCTGATTTCTTTGTCAGGTCTATATAGGATAGTGAATTAATTATCTATGGCTGTGTAACCAATTACTCCAACGTTTGGTGTCTGAAAATAGCGTCTGGGTCAGAAATCTGGGAGCAACTTAAATCTCAGTGGTTCTGACTCAGGTCTTTCATGAGCTTCCCTTCAAGCTTTGACAAGGGCTGCAGTCACTGAAGACTGGATCAGGGGTTGGATTCCAGCTTCCAAGCTCACTCACTTGGCTGTTGTCAGGCCTTAGTTCCTTTCCATAAGCCTGCTTGAGGTGACAACTGGTTTCCCCCAGAGCAAGGAATCCAAGAGATGGAGAGATCCCAAGATGCATAATCTCAGAAGTGACATAGCTGAGCCATATTCTATTGGTCACCCTGGTCATCACTGGTACAGTCTGGGAAGAAGGTATGAATCCCAGGAAATGAGAATTGTTGGGTCCATCTTGGAAGCTGATTGCTTAATGAACCACTGTTGGACTCAGAAGTGTGGGCATTTTTGCTAAGTACTGGAAGGACAGATGCCCTGTACCCCCAGGTGGTGGCCCCGAAGTCAAGCTTAAGTCTAATTACCCCTGGCTTCCTTTACAGGGACAGTTCCCTGAGAAAGACAATCTTGAAGGCATTATTTATTATTAATTATTGAAATATTTAATAAGTCTCATTAGAGCTATGTGGAACATCAAAATGACCTCACTCCCAAGGGCCTGATTTGTAGTGAGCCACTTTTCCTTAGAGGCTTATAGAGCAATAGAATTTCTTTCTCTGACTGGGAGGAACATTTTCCTTGAGTCTTGGCATACACATATGTTCTTGTAGCTCTGGAGAAATTTTTGCAGAGAGAAGCTTATCAAGCAACAGAGGTGAATTAGGACCTGTGGAAGGAAGCCTTCGCTTCGCCCCGGTTTCTCTTGCCCAGGAAATATCAGGGCCATTGGAGGGCAGGTAGGAGCATTGAGTGCTATGGTCTGTCTTTGAAAAGAAGCCTGTGTCTTCTTGCCTTTTGGGGCCTTGGGGTTGTGACCCTGGATGCCTGACTCATAGTCAGTTCTGGACCTGGAGAATGAGTGTTTGACAGGCTGCTTATAGTGGAGGGTTATTATATTCTGCAGAGGGGAATTGCTTTCTGTAGTGCTATGAACAGGGAAGCCTTGCATCTCAGTCCAGCAGACAATTCTCAGTGGCCTCTGGAGTTTTGGGAAGGAAGGAAAGACCAAATGAGATGGCCTTTTCACCCACAAAGTCTAAAATCATTCAAACCTTGGTGTGAAGGGCAGAATCCATTCTATCGACCAAGGGTTGCTAGGAATTCTTTTGATGCTAGCTAAGCTCACCAGGTTTTCTAGCACTATATCTTTTATCGCTGCCTGAAATATAAATAAACCACTCAGCCCATTTCTCTTTTTTACTTTCACCTGCAAACCACTGTGGGCTTGCTTCTCCAGCTCTTGTGTTCCTCCCAAAATGTAACACCAAGTCCTCTCAAGCCCCACCTGTGGTTAACAACTCTACCCACATCCTCAACCTCTTCACTGAACTCTTCCACCTACTTCCTGCCCGCTTAGGTCACTGCTTCCCCTGAAGTCTCCAAAACGGAGGTATCTTTTCCTCCTCCACTCCACTTACTTCAAGTTCAGGCGATGAGGGTCGGGGTCCTTTCTTCCTCCACTCTACTTATTTCAAGTTCAGGAGGTGGTGGTCGGTGTCCTTTCTCTCCACTGCCCTTTAAAGACCAAGTGCTGCTCCTCTGAGGCTCATGTCGTATTTGCTCACTCAGGACGTGTTTGAGGGCCTCCTACAAGCCAGGCACTGTTCTAGGAACTCAAGTCAACCAGCTGAAAACCCCTGTCCTGGTTGGGTATATTTTTTAGTGATTTTATGTAATGCTGTGAAAGGAAGTCAAACTGGAGGGGCGGGGGGAGTGTTCAGGATCACTGGCTGTACAGAGGTGGGTTTGGGTAGACCTTATTGAGAACCTGAGATTTGAGCAGAGAATTTGAAGGAGGTGAGGGAGTTAGCGAGTGGGTGTCTGGAGGAGTGTCCCGGTGGAAGAAACAGCCAGAGCGAAGCCCTGACGGCACCTGCTCAGCGTGTCAGGGGCTACCCTAGAAGCCTGTGTGGTTGGGGCAGAGGGCTAGTGGGGAGGCCTTGACCATGGATCCAAGGGGGAGGGGGCCAGATGATCTAGGGCCCGGTATGCCAGTCTCAACTTTTGCCTTGACTTTGAGTACCTTTGCAGGGACTTGAACAGAAGGAGGGCAAGAATACTTGATTTAAGTATTGAAGGATCACACAGGCTGTTGAATTGAGAATCCTTTATTTAACTGCTCCACTGAATTTAGTTTCCTTTTAGTCAAAAGGATGTAAACTGAGTGCAAACTGGCTGAAGGAAAGAAAAGAAAAAAATATCTCTTGGCTCGTGTTGAAAAGCCCCAGGTATTTTGGTTTCCGGAATGGCTGGAACAAGGTATTCAAACGATGCTGGGAGTCTGTCACTTCCCGACTCGGCTCTGCTTCCTTCTCTCTGTGTTAACTGGTGATGTTCTCAAGCCGGTGAAGGGATACAGTCTACAGACAAGGTTTGCAACTCCAGCTGAGAGAGAGCACCTCTTTCCTGATATTAATAATTCCAGCCAAAGCTCTGGGCTCGAGTCTTCTGGGCCTGAATTGGGTCAGGTGTTGACTCTTTGTAACTGGTTGCCCAAGGCCTGGGCCAGGTCCTTATCTTTGGAGGGTGGAGAAGGGAAGTTTTTGTGTGTATGTTTTAACTGTGAGTATAAATATAGATGAAGTATATAAATGTTATCTGTATTAATAAATGTAACTATACAGTTTAAAGAATAATAAAATGAGCACTTATGTTCCTACCCTCACCCCCTGGACATAGAGTTAAGGCATAGACTCTTGCTCGTATTTTGGAAGCCCTCTTTGTGCCTGGGAAGAAGAGGGTGGTTTCCTAAGCAGGGTCAGTATGCTACTAGGAGGAGGAGGAATGAATGAATGTTGGACAAGCATCTGTTGTTTCACAAATGTCCATTTACAGACCTTCCACTGCCGCCTTCTTCCCTGCTTCTTCGTAACTTCCTTGTTTTTCTTATTCATTAAAATCTTTAAACCCCCAGCTATCTTCAGTTATATCTTCACTGCAAGAACTCTGTCCAAATCTCTCAAACTGTCAGTTGCTTGACCTCGTATCTTTCACCTTCATCCTTTTTCCCAGTTCAGTTGTCCTCCTTGTGGCCACACCCTCGCACTGTGACACCTGCAGCGGTGCCCGCTCTGAAAGAGTGCCGTCAGAGAGCTCTTATCTCGCCAGTCCTCCTGCCAGTCAGTGGGAACCGCCTGCACCTGCTCCCCAAAGCCCTGTGCTCACCGGTCTCCTCTAGATTCCACGGCTCAGCCTGTCAGTTTCTTCTGCCGCTGTCCGTGACGCAGTGCCCTCACCCTCCTCCTCCTCCATCCAGTCTGGGTCCTTCCATTTGTTCCTGCCTTTTGCCCGAGACTTGGGAGCTGCCGCCAGTGCAGCCTCACGGCCTCCAAGCACAGTCGGGGCCTTGGTGATGTTGGGCTTGTTGTTGTGTAGTTGCTTAGTCGTGTCTGACTCGTCGCGACCTCATGGGCTATAAGGACCCCA